TTATAAAAAAAATAGTTTCTAAAAATATTTCTACTATAAAGTCACCTCATATGATAGCAGAGTTTAGGCTTAAACGGTCTACATAAAAATTTTGAAAAGCTTTATCAATGGAATCAAAATAAGGAAATTTTCGGGAATACTTTCAAATGTGTTTAGCTCACTTAAATCTTAATAGATTGGCAGAAGCCTTAAAATGCAATAAATTTTATAATTCCGATGGGGCAAATCGCAACTTTTTTGGTGATGCACCCTAATGTATATGTGTATGCTAAAAATTTGTATGGACTTTCATGAAGTATGCCGAGTGGTTGGATTCAGTTGCACATCTAAAAGCAACTGGAGGTGCAATTAATTAAAATGTAAAATACACACACGTAGTATGTATAAACATATGCAAATGCGAATTGATGTCGAACGTTCCTATATGCGAAAAATACTACTTTTTAAATGAAAAAAAAAAACAGCCAAAACTCGAAATAATACAAATGGCAATAACGCAAAAATTGCTTACGTGGACCGGCGCGACGCTCGGCATTTTCGAAATTGTAGACTTACAAATCCGTCCATTTAACTTGTTCATGTAATACTTTTTGTCAAATGTAACTGGGTGACTACCTACACTTTCGGCTAAAAGTATTGGCACAGCTGCTTTTTTACAAAATATATGCAACGATTTGTGTTACAATACTTTTCCGAAAATTTTGTATGAAAATATGGTTAATTCTACAACAAAAAACATAAATATATAAATTCAAACTTTGTGCAAAACTAGGGAAAATTCAGAAAATTTTCATGAAAATTTTTTAATTCGATTTTTTAGAATTTTTTGAGTATGCAGATTTGTAGCCCAATCAATTTTATTGCAATAAAGTAGAAGTTCTAAGTAGCTACGAATTACCGTTGATTTTTGGAATTTTTTTCACGCAGTCTCTTCCACACAAAAACAAAATTTTGGAAAATACTTTATATGGGAAAAATGCAAAACACCTTCAACAAAAAAGTTCTCAAAAATCAATGCGATTTTTGACTAACTCCGAACTTGAATTTTTGATACTAGAATTTAATGCACTACAAAACTGCATACTCAAGAAAATTCGAACAAATCTGATTAAAAAGTTGAAAATTTTCATGAAAATTTATTGAATTTTCTCGAATTTTGCACAAAGTTTAGAAATTATATTTTTGTGCTTTTTGTTGTAGAATGAACCATAAATGCCTTCATTACCCTTTCCTCTATGTTTGGTTTACATTACAGCTGGCCAGGATCAAAGCAAAATAGTTCACCTTATTATTAGTATATTATGTTTCCGTTACTTTTCTCAAAAAAATGGTTTGTGGAGATTTCTTCTTATTAAATTGAATCTGGGTTACTGCTGATCAATCGTTTCAAGCTAATTTTAATGTTTCTTTCCAAACTATAATCAAATTCGACAAGCGACATTTGTGATTTTTGTTGTAAATCAGACAGACATGTGTAAGAGCAAAACTTCATATGTATGTCGAATTAATTTTAATGAAAGGCATGAGGGCAGGACAGTACTCAAAAATATATACATAAATTCAGTTCAACAAAACGAGCAAATACATATAGAAGTTTGCATATTCATTAGCCATCGGTGAGCGCATCCTGGGACAGGTTCGCAGGGCGTTTTGGGCATTCCGGCATAAGCTTGATGATATGCACATATGTCTTTTGTGTAGTCAAACATAGAACGTTTGACATAATGCAGAGTCTGGGGATGAAGGTGAATGTGGGAATGTGAGAAAAATGTACAAACATCAAAAATCCAACTGCCGCTAACCCACATACATAGCACCCAATCAGCGGGGCTGAGGGCTTTGAAGCCGCTTCGCGACTGAACATTTCCGGGGAGCTGGCTGGCTGGCTGTGTAAGCGCATAATAACATCGCCGCTGCAGAATTGGGTCGCTCCTCTTGTGCATATTTTAACCTGCCTTAACAAACATTGCTCGGCAATACAGGCTTTCAGTTTTCATACCGATGATGATGATGATGAGGAGGATAATGGCTGAATAGTTGTACAAGCAGGCTGTGCTTGTGTCTTTGTATGTATGTATTTATGTATGCAGAGTGGCATACAGTCGGCGGTGTAAATATTTGTTGCTTTTAACATTACAATACTCAGTCAAGTTGTTTTCCATTTTGCTGCAATGCACTTAGAATTGTAAGCGAACGAGCCAAAATACGTATATACATATGTATATACTTCTATGTATATTAGGGTGGGAGCACATTTTTACATCAGATTTCCTAAGCCTCAAACCCTACGTCGGTGCTACTATATTTACAAATAAATTTTGGTCCCGATTGGAGTTGGTTAAGGCACAGGGGTCAAACTTCAGACAACCCTATGAAAACATCTTCACCGACTGAAATCGGAAATTTATATTCAATATCTTCGAGTTTAGTGGTATCGATTTTGGGTATTAAATGCAAAAAATGTTGTTAATTTTTTGAGTCTCGATAGAGGCTTCTGGCCTTTCACCCCTTTGCGACACTCTTTAACCGACTCCAATCAGGACCAAAATTTATATGTGATAGCTGTGACCGTGGTATTATCGATTGAGGGGGTGAGACTGAAAAAAAATCGATAATTTGATTTTTTAAGGACTACCCTAATGTATATGAAAAATAAAATGATTCTCTTGTGTATTCCAGTAGATAATTTCAGGAGCTAAAAGCCCTTCCAAAAGGCCTTCTTGAGAGTCAAGCGGCCTTCCACACTACATTCCTTTCTCCTTTAATTTTGGATGGAGTCGCACAAACTGAAGGCCTTCTGTCTGCGCTACCAATAGAACGGCTTCCAGAGGGGTTTTTGTGGGACGTATTTCACAAGGCCTTTTGTTAATGTTAAATACATAATATAATCTTACACATTCCCGTAAATTGTAAATAGAAAAAGACCTTCTGGAAGCAGGCAAGCACATTTTTCAGCCCTTCTTGGGTAGGCCTCTTAGAATGGCTTCACTAACTAGCCTACCTAAATTATCTTCTGGGATGATTGGTGGCTCACATGAACGCATATCTGCATAAGTATGAGCCAAATCGATGTACATATGTATATATGTGAATATGTTAGATCGGCTTTGTTGGAAAATGTGCAAATCCTTGCACATTGGTTTTAGTCCACAGTACAACAAATCATGTAGAGAGCATACATATAGACACAGATGTTACATAAATTTATGTATGCACTTGCTTGTGTCTGCGTGAAACATTCTTTACTGAAATTTTGTTGGCTTTTTATGTATAGGCACTCGTACATGCCTTTGATTTGTTTGCATATCTCATTTGAAAAGAGAAGCAAAGTAAAAACAAACCTCTCGAAATTTTCGCCATAAAACAAATAAATAATAACGTCTATAGAATTCACTATTTCTGAGTGAGATTAACTCTACAAATAAAAATGTTTAATTTACAGTTACAACTTAATAAACTATCTGTATTGGCAACTATACATATGTATATCTGTATATCCTAACTTCTTGTGGAAGATCTTTTGTGCTTTGTGTGGGGCTTTTCACGATATCGAGGGGATTTTAAAATGCCCGAAGAAATTCTTAGAGCCCTAATGTTGGGCCACCCTAACGTAAATTTATATACATACATTTTTTAAATTCGGAAACAAAATAAATGAAGCGTCTGGATTAAAAAATTCTGCAATGCTAATAACTTTTCTGGCGGCGTTATCGAGTGTTTACCCATATATGGAAAATAGTTTTAAGAATATACATGTATTCACTCTCATTGGAACTTTGTGGCTAAAAACCAAAGGCATCTATCTGATGGCAATTTTCTGTATCGAATTGAAAACATTCCCTCATTTAATGGAATTTGTTATTGGAACTCGAATTGCAAACAGATATCAAGAGCTAGTCGAAGCTACGAAATTTTTAGTACAAAATGATGTTTTGAACGAATTAAAGAATACGCCAATTATTAACATTTTTCCCCAGTCCAGTAAACGAAATTCTCTGACTTAAATAAAATTTGGCAATAAGGGTTTAATTTCTTATGTTAGCCCCCTTTAAGCTCGATGCATTTAGGGTTAGGTTAGGTTTCCAAGAAAATAGAGTTCCCTCAGGTCCTCAAAATAGACGTTTTTTCAGTAATTACATTATTTTTCATACGACACAAAACATTTCCCTTGGGCCACTTCTTCAGATTTGGAAAACAGAAAATAATCGAATGGGGCTAAATGGATGGGGTAGCAGCTCGTGGTCGTCTAATATACGGGTTATAGCCGAAATTCTATTTTTCACTTTTTCGTCGCAACTTACGTGGCTGTCTGCTTTCAATGGCAGTTAAAAGCAAACGAAAAGCTGCAATTTATTAAAAATTTTACCAAAGTCTGCCAAGTGTCTACACGAAATTAAAAAAAAAAAGTAGCTGACTGAAAATAGTTATCACTGATTTTTTTAATGTGAACGGAAAACATTTATAATTTTATTATTTAATGTAATTTTTGTACTCAAAATTTCCTTACACAGTCTTATATTTTTCTATATTCTTATTTAACTATGGCAATGCTGAACCTGATTAAATATCTACTATCTACTTTATTTTTGCACTTTTACAAACAATAAATTTCAAGTGAATACACATACATACAAACGTAAACATACACAGTTACAAATATACACAAGTATTTGCTAGACTTTTCTTAATATGCTCCCAAATACCAATTTTATTCAAACTATCCTTCCTTCCATATGTATGTATCTTAAACTGATCAACACAAAGAAAGCTACTTCCCTTTGAGCCTAGTGAAAACAATCAATCAATTCCAACTGCCCTCCTTTCAGTTGACTTCATCCACCCTGTATTCTATCCAGAACAAACGCGTGTATGTATTTGTGCTTTATAATATCCCTGCCAGAGTATTTATTTCACATTGCGTACAGCACAATTTCCAAGTTGAGTAAAGAGTCAGATTTTTGAAGTTTATTAAATTTTTGGGAAAATTATTATTATTTTAGGGTTTGCTATTCAATTAAGCCAAATCCAAATCGAAGTTTTCTACCAGCAAGAATCACCGTTCATGGCACTTATCAGACTAACATAATAACAGGACCGATTGAACTATGGTAATTAACACAATAATACATACGATATATATATATATATATACTTTTTTATAATAACGAAAATATGTATTCGGATATACATACATATTTTAATTGTTTGTGGCTGATAAAAAAAGAGGAATTTTTATATTTGGTAAGACAAATCTGAAAAAAAAAAACGATCAGAATTTAACAAAGTAAAGAAAAACAGAAAAAAAAAATTGGAGAAACTAAAATGGGTTCTTATGTCACATAAACTTATTTATGTCTTTCTATGTTTTACGTATTTGTTTCTGTCATTTCTCTTTTAGTGCAAGTAAAGTGGTTACGTATACGCCCCATCAAACACAAGCGTTGACATCATTTTGTATAAGAAATATGAATTAAGCCACTTAAATTCTTGCAAGCTGCTGATCAGGACTAGTATCTAACTTAAAAATGACTTTTTAATTTCATGTAATTGAGCGAAGTGTCATTAATTGACATTCAAATACCAAGAAATACATAGTGGCCATCATTCCGAATTGAATAAATTTCCAAGCTTCTGCTTCAAATACGTCTCCTATACTGAACGTTTTCTAAAAATCTTTCCAGGTTACTTTAGTTAATGGTTTATTTGTATTTTGCGGCAGTCATATCTCTTAAGTGTATGCTTTGAAGAATTTAGGCTGGCTTGACTTCTGAAGAAAAATCTCACTTTTTGGTACGAAATATAAATCAAAGCTTTAGTGACTTTGTAAAAAGATTCAAGTTCGATATATATTTCACTAATACGATATGTGGCAGTGTTTAATCACTAGCTAATGAATGCTTTTAAGCAGCATGCAAGTGGGCGATTACATAGCACATCCGAAGACATAATAGAAACGTGAAAAAGCTCCTATTTAATGCACATAAAATTTTATTTATGGTCTTTAAACATTAATATTAATATTTTGTCTAACAAGGCCGTGACGTTCGAATCTCAAAATTGTATGATTTTCTTGTTTTTTTTTACTTTTTCCCTTTAAAATTTAAAAATAAGCACGTTTTGCGGCGTGTGTTTTATTTTATTTGTTGCTGAGATCATTTATTTGAAAATTCTGAATACAAGCTCCGCAAAGATTCAATTATAAGTGTTTGCAAGTTTTCCCGTTTTGCACATTCCAACAAATGATTTTCGCAAAATTGAAATTAATTGCATAACAAATAGCATTATGAAGAAAATTTGGAAACCGAAATATTCCTAAAAAATTGTATGTGTTTAAAGTCAAGAAATAACCACAAGCATCAAAAAATGGAAAAAAAAATAATTTACATACATACATATATTTGTTAGCATCCGCTAATCAAGCGTAGAAAGCTGACTTTGTTAGACCTTGTTGGGAAAACTTGAACTAAATGAGTTTACTAACGCCAAGGTCTTGGCTATATTAGGATACTTGTAGTTGTTTTTTTCCCGCTGGCAAGTGAAAACTTTATTCATCAACGATAAGCATGACTACATGTTCATGTAGCCAACCAATAAAAACGAAATAAAGTTCTTAAAAAAACAAGTGAAATCATGAGTAACATTTTTTAATCCTGCTGTTAGGATTACTGAAGAGCTACAAAATTTTGAAGAAAAAGATAAAAACGAAAATTACCAGAACAAAAAAATACGATAGTCATTAACGTAAAAGGCACTAATTGACAATTTTGAAATTTTGTAGAAGAAAAAAATATAAAAAAATGCATTTTCAAGAAAACTAAAATTTGTTTTTGTTTTGCTTTGTACATTAAAATGAGTTTTTTTGCCAACTTTTTCTTTTTTTTTTTTTTTTTTTTTTTTTGATCTAGGAAGGAAGTGCTGTTGCCACCAAATGGAGAAACCCCTAAAGTCCTTTAGCCTTTCATTTTATTTTATCAATATTTCTTTCCCACAATTGCAATTGAGGTAAACTCTTCTAAAATTTGGTTATCGAAAAAACATTAGATTAGATAATGATTGGAAGAGGCTGCTCCCTCTATCGCCACCAATACGATTTAATGTTACAAACCTCTATTTGGGGTTTACCATTAAGAGCGAATCATTTTGCTTTTTCGATTAAGAGGCTTTTGGGATAGTTATGTAAATGATTTTAACTTCAAATGAATGTAAAATAGCGCGGAATTTCGCGCTCGATGTTGGGCTGCAGCTCTTCTAACGTTGCTAGCTTAGTGGCATACACCAGCGATTTGATGTAAATAGCGCATGCAAAATAATTGCGATAAAAAGTGAGTTTTGATAAAAAAAATTTTAATAGATTGAAAACGTTGTTGCAGCGCGCATCGCTCCATGATTAAATGGCATAGATTGGCGTTTCAAAATGTGAATGAATTGCGACGTCCAGCTTCGCTCCTATCCGGGAAATGTTAAAAACTCAATGCGTTGTCTCTATTGAAAAGCCTCTAGGTCTCCTTTGTTCTACGTGTCGTTAAGGAACCCCGTGTGCTCTTTTGGCTAGGACACGGTGTTTTTAGGGAGAGCAATTTGGGCCCAGCAAGCTCAAAAGAAGAATAAAATCAAATTTCCTTGAACAAAGCTTTCCAGCCACAAACGAATCTAACGTTCTGGGTGAAACTTAGATCTGTTGGTCTCTTGACGGTCCCTATTATTCGATTGTGTCTTCGGAAAAATATTTGAATGTTAAGAAAATGTAAGGTTCCGTTAGCTTATTTTCTTTGAATACAGATATTCTTACAGAGTAAAATGAAACATACGATCAATAAATGACTGTTTATATAGCTGGGAAATGAATTGAAAACTGTCATTGAAAAATTCACTATGAAGGAAGGAAGGAATTTTTTCACCGAGAATCTAATTTCAATATATTTTTTTTTTGTAATTTTTATGCAAAACTAAAAAAAATAACAATTATTTTTGGTTTAACTTTTTATAAATCCAAAATAACAATTATTTATTATTTTTTTTTTATCTTTTAAGTCATACGCATAAAGGTCATTATCATTTTTTGCAGTTAAGAAGGCATTGGAGAACAAAAGTTTACTACCACTTATACGAAAATCTTCAATAACTGTTATATAAAACACATAATATAAAAACCAAAAATAACTGTTATTTGCATATTATATAGGTAAAAGTTAAAAATAACTGTCATTTAAGGAGTAATTAAATAAAAGTAAAAAAATAATTGTTAAACAGTGATTGTTATAATAAAAGTTTTAACTGTTATGGTCCCTAGAACTGACGTATATAAATACTTGATTGAATTGACAAAAATTTGCAAGAAATCAATATCTAAGCCATTGAAAACCTGATTTAATTTTTCACGTGCACATACGAGAGATGAGAGCATTGGCACCATAATTGTTTCTGGGGAATCCTATATAAAACAATTCAGAATGCCGAAGAGTTCTGGGGAGGATATTGAGTGAAATTTTATCTAAAAGGCAGGGACAATCACTTGAGCCATTTATGATTTTGACAAAAAGTGAGCACGTTAAAAAAGATATTCAGACTAATTAGAGGCACCGAGAATTATATGAACGTAATGGCATAGAAGGCCTCTAAATATAAGCTCCATACTCTAACTTCCATCCAACAAACACACAAAACAGAACATTATGTGTATAAAGGTTGATGAATGCCGAACAGTTTCGGCGAATAAATTCTAACATTGACTATGGAACGAACAAAGCATCACTTCACCCATTAGCTAAATATGACTTAATCCAGGATAGGAATTCCTAATGAAAACCAAATGACGCAAACTTCAGCAGAGGTATTCGGGTAATACTTTGTCGAAGGATTTTGAAAAATCAATGTAAATCGTACCTACCTAGAATTTTTTGAAATGCAGAAATGCTGAAACAGCCAGGTTGGTAAGTTTTCCATAAAAATTGTGAGGCCTTCCTTATCCAACACTCCTCGTAACTTATTGCAGTAATGTGGCCAAGTTATGGCGTATGTTTCCGATGTTGCTTATGCTAATGTGTCATCGTCCTCAAAACTTAATATATTCTGCGCTTATCGTTAAAAAATATGGTTTGTATATGATGAAAATGAAGTTGTAGAAATCTTATAGGGCCAACAATCGAGTGTAGTAAAATTGCGCATTTTGTCTTAAAGTGATGATGAGTCGTGCTTTAAGTATTTAGTTTCGACTTTTGGTATAAGGATTATTAAAAAACAAACGTATTTTCAAAAAATGCCAAAGACCACTTTGCATTGATGATGGCGATCCAGAAATTGACGGTATTTTCATTCTCAGTTCGACATATTTTTTTTTGTATTTATAAGTAAAGGCTGTGTGTGTTTCACGCAATATGGTACAGGAGTCTATATTACAATTGGTTTTATAGATAACTATGCACACAAGTAAATACATATATATGTACGCAAAACCGATTTGCTGATAAGGTATTAAGCGTGGAAAAAATAATATGGAGCAAAATTTCAATACATAGAATTCACAGTCAAGAAACACTTGAATATACAGTGACTCAAACAAATTACCACGTGTTGATTTTTTTGAAATATTCTTAATTATTTTGTTTGTTAGTTTTCTATAAAAATACCGTCCAAGCTTTAAGCAAAATATAAATCATAGTTATAAATTTTACAAAATTTAGTAAAATTCAAAAAATTTTCATCAAAATTTCAACTTTGTAATCTGAATGCCCAAACAATTTTAGTCAATCAAGTGCAAGTCTCAATCGGCTAAAAAATCGCGTTGATTTTTGAGAGTTTTTTTTTGAGACTTGTTTTGCAATTTTTTTCTTATACAACAAGTGCAATTTACAAAATCCAACAAACGAACTTCTCCATTTTATTTTATAAGAAATTCATGTTTATATGGAAAAAGGTGCAAAAATTCGTCACCGATAAAAAAGTCTCAAAAACCAAAAGGACTAAAATTGTGTTTGCTATAAAATTGCAGAGAGATTCAGATTAAAAATTTGGAATTTTAATGAAAATTTAATAAGGTTTCTAAATTTCGTATATAGTCTGAAACTGCGATTTGTCTGGTATTCGCTAAAGCTTGGACGGAATTTTTATAGAAAAATAAAAAAAATCTAGTTCGAAAAACATTACGAATATTTAAAAAAAAATCAATACGTGGTCATTTGTTTGAGTCACTGTACGTTATGTATAGATGGCTTAGTGGAAAAAATTGCACCTTTATAAGAAGCAGAATTGTTGTTATATATGTATACAGCAAATAGTGCTTACTCATAATTGCATGTAGCGTTTGTGCAACTCTGAAAAGTGTTTTAGATGTAAATATGTATTTTTCTGAAATTTTTATTCAATTATAAAAGCAAAAACAAATACTGGATTATTTTGGGTTCGTGCACAATTAATTACTAACACAGGCAAACTATTGGAATTTGCTCGTAGTTTATCTTCAAATTATTTAAACCAAATTTTATGCTAATTTTGCTAATATAACAACACATTTTTTTTTCTCATTTCCCCAACGCTTTTGCTTTGTACAGGACCTCGCTGTTCATCGTCACCAGTTTGGTGTATGCCATCATTTTGATTGTTGTCTGCATTGCCTATGTGATTAGCGATGTGACAACCCACCGTCTGCCAGTGCTCTACTATGAAACATTCTTTACGTATTTGTATGGTGTCAGCATACTCTTCCTATTGTATGTATTTTGCTTCCTGTTGCAGGGTAAGTTGACAAAAAATAAAATAAAAAATAAAAACAAAGTAATATGAACTAAAAAAAATTATACTATTTATTCTTACGTTCGCAGCAGTTATTAAGCTTTTTTTATCTGCCTTGTTTCTTACTCTTTTATTAAGTTTGAGTTTTCATTAAAACCACAGTTTCTGTTTTATTAAAAATTACCCCTCCTTTCATTACTTCTTATGCCACAGAGAGTTCCTGCTGTAATGGCGGCAGTAAACCGAAATCACCACCAAAGGAGAAAAAATCAAAGAAAAAATTACCAGATCCAACCGATTCGAAGGATGCGAAGGGTTCCAAGGATTCTGGCAAAACCGGCAAACCGAGTCCATATCAGGTGTGTTTTTATTATAAGACAAATCATTTATTTTCCTTTTTCAATCTTTTTGTTCGGCTGAAGAATTTTTATTATTCCACTTGTTTACATAAATACATTGAAAATCGAACTTGTAATTTGTGTGTATTTTCCTCGCATAAACTCTCATACATATATGTCCGTCTCACGCACATCCCTACATCTTTTAGCAGCCTTCAGTTACCCTCTCTGAAAGTAAGAAATTCCCCACATAAGCACACACACCCTAGCTGAATTTTTAATACTATTTCAAGTGCACGAATATTATTTGCCAAGTGCAGTTGAAGCTGAAAATTTTATGTATTTCAAAATTCTTTGGGGGCCTTGTAGGTAATTGTGTGGTAATTGGCTGTAATTACTTTAACTTTTGTTCATTACTAAATCCATTAGCGCTTACGTTGTGTGGCTTTTGTAATTTGTATTTGGGGACTAGCGGTAATTTTAATGTTTAATGTTGTTTACCTTCATAATTTTGTCACACCATTTTTTAATTTTCAATTTTTAATTTCTGTGGTTTCAATGTCAGCACCGATATTGTTTTTGAATTAATATTTGGATTAAATTAAGGATGAAAAATATTATTTAAATAGAAGGACTAAATATAATAATAAAAATTATAAAAGCGAAATAATCTTTTTTAATTAAAAGATTCAATGAGTACATTAGAGAAGATGCATTGTGTTAAAAAAATTAAGGGAAACTGCGCTTTATTAAATGTTTGACTTCTCTGCTTGGCCTGTTCCGAGTCTCCTTTTGGGGATCCTTTGGATTTGGTAAGTGCAAGGTCTATAGGAAAGTATACCTCTCTCAACTAATGTATTTAACTATTTAGAAGTTCTCATTTTCGTTGTTGGTATTTCCGACAGGGTAGGAGTAGATATGATGTATCCTTCTGAACGAAAACCGCTTTGTCTCCAAACCAAATTTGACAAGGGATGACGAAAAATATTTCCAAAGTATATCATATTTAGAAGTTTGTTGAATTTTCTTTTGTTCTGGTTTCAAAACATTAAGAGGAATATTAGACTACAGTTGATAAATTAGCATGGGCGAAGTCATTGCGTATTTTTCGGTGAACTTCATAATTCCCCATTCGTTAGGAAGACTTGTCTTTAGTGGCGAAAAAAATTACTACAATACTGTTCCAATAATTTTTGACTAACTAGTCGCCAGATATACATATGTAGGTGTGGTCTATGGCTGACGTGATGGAACACAAGTACTTTGGATGATATAATTATTCAAAGCATCCAAGTGCCGATAGTTATCATTCAAATTGTTTGTTCGGTTCCTTGGAAGGAGTTCAAAACAACCTGCCCTTTAAATACCATCACACTGAGCGCTTAACCTTCCTATGATGAGGTTATGCTATTGTAGTCGTTCGAAATGAATCATCGCCTCGGGACCAATACCGTTGAATTCCACATGATTGAAAAGAAATCCACTTATCCATACCAGTTATTACAGTTGTCTTCACTTTTCAGCAACATATAATCCAAATATAGAGCTTGCTGTTTCCTAAAGGAGTACTAAATGCTTTTTTGACTGCTACCTACATTTTGTGCGACTGAACAGCTGACTGATTGGCTGAAAATGAAGCAGAAAACGTTTAGTTTTTTTTGGCTCTTTGTATTTTGGTATTTCGAAGGATACATGGTAAATAAAAATGGAGCCAAATGGATGACGCGTTTGGGGAAATTAAAAGTTTATGGCCCAGGGTGTATCTAGGAGCAACTGTAGCAAAAGTGGCATTTGAGTTTTGGTGCGGTTAAGGTTTGACCTTAATTAAACTATGGTATAAATGGTATAAATTCAAAAAAGTTACGTAGAAAATATAATTTTCGTTGCGTCTTAAAACGTATCAAAATTTATATGAAAAATAGGTAACCAAGCCATGCAATTTTGTAACTTTTGAACTATTTGGATTAAAGTGCCAAAACATTTCATAATAATATTCGAATGATTTACTAAATCTTAAAAAAATCTCAATTTCATTAGTCCGATTTCGAAGTTGTCCCAGGCTTTTCTTCGAATTCTTCTTTATCTCCTTCAATTGCACAAAAACCCTTTCAGCGGAAAGTTAAGTTTCAGAAAACGTCTAACGAGCCCTGCAGAATTATACATCTACCTCCATATCATGAACTAAAGAGCTTATGATTTCTTAGATATACATATGTATGTATGTACATTAGACTGTACGACCTTACCGAGAAAACAAAAAAGTTCGCCATACACCCCTTACTCTAAATTATTTTTGCAAGACAATGCCAATTTTCTTTTGCGTTAAATTATTTATTTTCTAATATGAAATGCTATTTTTATTTATTTCTATATGTAATATTAATTTAAATCCTTATTTTTCATTTTTTCACTACTACCCTTCATCACCATCATCATCATCCACAACAACTTAATCATATACACTACTACCGCCTGCTACTGCCAACACATACTCAAAAATATGTGCATTAATTAAAAAAAAAAACCCCAAACCGCTCACCAACACAAACGCAAAACGAATGCTGTACATAAATGCGCTCACACAAATATGTACCTGCGCGCAAAACAAAATCAAAAAAAAAAACCAAAAAAAAAACGAAAATAATTTCTGTCTTGAATGTTCCGCATCTTGGCAATGCTATATCCTCGAAAAAACCTGTGTACAAACTGCTTTACAAAAATGGCGAATTGAATAATGAAACTCATATATTCTCAAAAACAAAAAACCAAATGCAAACCAAATACACTGCTGCTCTTCAATGCTATGAATATGGCTGGCTATCAAATTCTATGCTCCTGCCAAATAATGCCTAATCCTGCCGCGACAACGCTGATGCTACTGCACACACGCACACACACAAATACATATGTATAAACCAATGTGCTGCAACATTATAATCTGAATAATCTGAATACAATAACATATGAAAATCCACACACACGCACACACATACTCAAATGTACACATGCAAACAATGCTGCGTGTGCTTTGCATTATCCTGACTACAAATAATACGCATTTAAATCGTTGATCCGTTCACTCCAACGTCGGCAGGAGCGATATCCGGTTAAGAAACGTGATCTCGTACGACAGTCTTTGACGTTACAGGTATGCTTAACAACAACAGAAATACAAAACCACACAAGTGAAAATAACAAAATCAAATAACACTAAATATGTATCTACAGAAATTCTAATAACAACTAAATACTCGTAAATATGAGTACACCTGCATACATACGTACCTATTAACTCAATGTGGAATGGCATCGTCATACTTTTCTCTGCTTTTTTATCTCTATCATTTTCAACTGACTGTCCTTGCTTAAGCACTTGAGTGCCTCACAAATGCTTCATTTTCCTTTTATTCTATGTATGAATTTGGCTTCTCTCTCACTATATCTATGCTCTTTTGTTTTCTTTCTCTTATAATCAAAGTGGTTGTATGTAAATACTAACCTTTGAACGTACTTTGAAAATCGAATTGTAGTTTATAAATAATACCGTCCAGTACTTCTGAAGAGGTTCTGGTTTTAGGGTCGATTCTCATTTCTATGTCCTGCCTGATAGCCGTATAAAACTGAAACCAATCTAGATGGTTGAGTCACTTGGGCTTAGAAAATCCAGCCAATGTATAGTTAGTCAAGCATGCTCTCTCACAAGGAAATAATTAATTATAGTGATTGCCTGACTTTCTGCAGAAAAGCTCCTTCCGAGTAATTTTGGAATAAAACTTCATTGAAATAGTTGTGAAGTTTGTTGATTTAGTTTCACACGCAATACGGTGCGGGTATTCAAGAAAAGAGGTTTTTTCGATTTGTTGGTATAAAAAACTATATTGGGTCACGTAAAAAGTCTGTGCGGGTTTATGGAGTAAATTTTTGAAACACACTTTCTTTATTGGAAATCAATTTTAATGAAGTGTATATTGACCATTATTATTTATAACTTTTTGCCATTTTTCATATAGTTTCATAATTCCATCGGTGTAAATATAACCAAGTGATTTTCCCAGGCTCTTCGATCGGCCAATTGTTCACCATCACTTTAATAATTTTTCGGCATGTTTTTGCAGCGTTTTCACCCTTTTTATGGTAAAAAAACATCACAGCGTGTTTTTTCCAGATATTTCAAATCATTATAATGAAATGCCAACGCAAGTCAGTTTGTAACATATTGATAAAAATACACGTTGTCATATTTTTGTTAGTTCTTTTGCTAACTTCCCTTCCAATTAAGTTTATGGATCTTGATCCTATCACAATATATTGTTGAATTCCGCATGATTCATGATGTCTATTTGATAATATCGAGAAGGTTAAAAACATAATTTGGAACTGAATGCTCGAAATTGAATTTGACACCAATCCAGATTGAACCTTATCTGAATTTGCATTTAGTTTGTATTCACTACTTGTACATACAGTCTATGACAACATTTTTTGAATACTCGCGTGTTCGTGAGTGATGTGGTGAGTCATGTGCGCATCTCTAGTTTAAATGAGTTTTTACAAGGGTGTGCGGGGGCGTTGTTTATTCTTTGCCAACTTTTATGGTGAAATGCTCCTTTGAAAAAAAAGCACTTGAGCATGTTCCAAATGAATATGTATGTACATCATTTTAACCGCTCTGCTCAAATGGCCGCAATGACCGATTAAGCAAAGCACTGGCATGTCATTCGAAAGATCCGAGGTTCGAATCCCTTGGAAATGGATTTTTTTTCTGTACTTAAATTAAATCTTTTTCATTTTTGATACTTTTTTTTTAATCCTTAGATTTGGTTGTTTTAAAAAGAAAAAATATATATGAATATAAATATATATGCAAAACCGCATAAATCGCCTCCTCTCAAAGCAATCCCTTCAAAGAAAAACAGTTTTGTCCTGTAAAATTTGAGTGCCGTAAGATAGGCGGTTTTGCAAAAATATCGACAATATACATACATATATTTTAATATAATTTAATCCAGCTCTCACGAAAAACGAAAAATGCATACAAAATGACACACAAGAAATTGAAAAGAAAGTTTTTTTTATCAAAATTTCTTAAATCAGTCTGCAGCTCTAAAGAAGAAAATATTCGTATACTTATTTCTTCAAGAATATTTATAGAAAAAGTAACGTATTTTTTCAAGCAACATAAATAATGAAACATATTTCTTCTGACTTTTCTTGAGCGCTGGATTCTAAGCTTTATTAAGAAGAAACGTATGTATATTTTTATACCCGAGCGCACTTGTGCACAAGGGTATATTAATTTTGTCCACATAACGGTTGTTTGTAACAGCCAAAACGAATCGAGATAGATATAGACAAATGTATACATAAATGATCAGGATGAAAAAAGAAATCGATTAAGCCATGTCTGTCTCTCCGTCCGTCCGTCCGTCTGTCCGTCTGTCCGTCCGTCCGTGTACACGATAACTCGAGCAAAAATTGAGGTATCTCATCGAAACTTGGTATGTAGGTTTCCATTTATCCAAGGTAGGTTGCTATTGAAAATGGGCGAAATCGGACTGTAACCAGGCCCACTTCCCATATAACGGTAATTTCCAGAAATACGAAAACTGCGATATTTTAGTAACTACTGAAGATAATTCACTCAAAATTGATATTTACAATAATTTTTAGACGAAAAATAAGAAAATTATAAAGTTTTGGAAAATGGGCGTAGCCACGCCCACTTATGGTTACATGTGTATATCTTGGTAACCGCTGCACCAATTTCTTCCAAACTTGGCATAGTTTTTGGCATTGCTATAAGACACAAAATCGCCGAAAATTTTTAAAATCGGACGATAACCACGCCCAAATCCCATATAACGGTAATTTAGAGAAATACAAAATCTTCGATAAATCAATAAATATTGAAGCTAATTTATTCAAAATTGATGCTTGCAAAAATTCTTTACCAAGATATACGTTTATGGTAAAATTTTGGAAAAAGGGCGTGGCACCGCCCACTTATGATCACATATAAGTATATCGGTAACCGTTCTACCAATTTGTACCAAACTCGGTGTGGTTATTGTGCTTGCCACACATAAGCAAAACGTTGAAAATTATTGAAATCGGACTAAAATAACGGCCGCTTCTCATATAACGGTAAATTTCAGAAATGCTTGAAACTTCAATATTTCGAAATTTAAGGACGCTAATTTACTCAAAATTGATACACCCCGGCTTACCATCTAGCGGAAGGTTTCGGAAAGGTGAAAAAACATATATTTAATACTTGCGCCGGGTATTTAATGTTCGGCTCCGCCCGAACTTAGACCTTCTTACTTGTTTTAATTTCATTTTATTTTGAGAAACTTTTTGTCTTTTATTAATTTTTCTTTTAATTTTGTTTTGGAACCCATCCGGAATTTGTGAAATTGTCATCACTGATGTTAATTAAAACTTTGCAATTCAATCGCAAATTTTTCTAACAAGCGATATAGAAGGTCAGCATTAACATCATCGATATGTGTATGTTTAAAGCAGAATCTAATTTTTGTGAAAATTTTAGATAAAGGGTATTGTGCTCTGCAATAATAGATTTCAATAAGACTTGCTTAGCACTTTTTCGGACTTTCAGTGATTGTGGTCTCATTAATTTAAATAAATTTCAGCGAATGCTTTGTAGCATAAATCTTCTGATTTGCAGAAACTCATAAACTTGCATATTTAATAATAAAAACTTCAAAACAAACTCGTAAGGAAAACATAAGTTTTATTCTATCACTGCCCGCGTTGAAAAAGTTGTCTCTACTGCAGCTCACTTGCATACATACATACAAGTAATAAGTAATACCTAGCCTTTCATATTTCTTCTTCAACTTTTTTCATAAATCTTTTCAATGCATATCAAAATATGGAAAAAAAAAACAACTTTTATGCCACAATCACATTTTGCGGTAATGCGTATGTATGTATGTATGCGGCAAAGTTGCGAAGAGAAGCCGCGAAAATTTCAAAATTTATCACATTTATTGCAAAACAGACAAAGTTGTGGCCACTTGCTGTAAGTGGCAAGCAAGATGTTGCTGCGTTGAGCGAGAGTTGTTGGCGGAGGTGGCGACAGCAGCCCGTTTAGGAGCACCAGACCACCCAAGTAGACAGTGCAGTGCGCCAGTGAAGTCAAGCATTTATGCAGTGAGTGAGTGTGCCAAATAGTCAGTCAGTCAAGTCAGTCAGTCAGCCAGTTACTAACTGCTGTCAGTTGCATTCAAACTCACTGTTGTCAGCCACAGTTCGGGATGTGTGCATTTTTAACTGCACATGCTTACGTATGCTTGTATGTTTGTACATACATACATATGTGTGTATTTCGCTTCGTACGCCACAAAGTTTGCGTAAGTTTGCAAAACTTTGCTCTGCTCTGGCGTATGTCTCTCAATGTCTGTCTGTTGACTCTAATAAATCTGGCTCCAACGCATTGGTTATGAATGTCTCATTGTTGCGCCGCTCCTTTTTTGGGCCACATCACATTTAGTATTAATTACCGCTCAGCATCAAATTGCCATAATTGTTTGAACTAAGTATGTGTTGTGGTTGTTGTTTGTTTCAAACAAGTACATACAAAACTGCCAAGACAAATTGCAACCAAACGAGCTGAATGAAAACGAAAAATTTGTAAAAAGTCGTAAGGAAAAGTGATTGAAGTGATTAAGCAGGTGCGAATGGGGAGGCGTTGGTGTTGTTAAATGTAAATAGGCAGCTAGCCTGGTTAAATTTTGCATTTGGTGGACTCGTGTGAACTAGAAAGTGAATATTCTGACTGAGTAGAATAGTGCTTCTACACATCATATCTTTACTAATAGCGCCAAATACGGTGTTTACATGAGGCGATTTCTTGAATCAAAAGTTGAAATCGATTAGTTGAAAGGCCGTTTACATCAGGCGATGCAAACATCGTAGTATAAGGAAGCGAAGGCGCGATATTTTGGTCAGGTTTTGCTTCAGGTGAAGTTTTTGCAGCCAATCGATTTGTCTTTATGAAGTGATGACAGTTGTGGCTCCACTCGTATTCTTGATTTAAGTCAGAGGTCGATCCAAATCCGAATCGACATTTTCCTTCTGGTGGTGATTTGATTTGGGAGTAGAGGGAATGGCCAGAAGAAGACTTGAACCTCGATTTGAACGCAATGCCAAGGACGAGGAATGTAAACAAAGATTCCTTTTCTTCATCTTAGGATGCTGAGAAATCATTTGTTCATTCATTTGTTTAGTAAGTCATGGGTTAATCCATGTCGAATCGCCATGTTTGGAATCAACAATTTTGAGTTGGTTGAATTTCGGTCAGAACTTTTCTTTTCTCATATAACTAAGTACTGCGAAAAAATAATAACATTTATTTCAAAGTTATATTAAAATATTTTTAATTAATCTAAACTAATTTTGATTAATTTATTACTACTACTTTTCTAAATGTTTTGCAGAGGATCTACGATTTTAAAAATGGTTTTTTTGAAATCTTTTCAAGACAGAAATACATTTGGGGGTGTGCCACTGCCTACCAACGCAGTTTGAAATTTTTTTCTTTCCCCAATTCCTACAAAGTGGTAGCACGCTTCTCTAGCCACTCAGCCAGAGTGGCCCCGTTTTTAAAAAAAAATTTTTTTCAAAAATTAATATTAAAAAAGTCCTTCCTGAAAATTTAAGGATTTTTAAATATCAGTTAGAGGTATTGTATAATAAAATGCAGCCTTAAATTTATATGTACATAAATAAAAGTTTTTACTTTTAAGCTTTTTTTAATTTAATTTTTTAGAGATATTCTTTTACCTTTAAATCAAGATTGGACCTATTTTTGTAACTATACTAAATTTTGAGGCCGCCGCAGTGGTGTAGTGGTTAGGAATGCTCGCTAGCATTCCTCAGGGCCCAGTTTCGGACCAATATTATAAAGAAGATAAGTTTTTTCAAATAACGGTCGCCCCTCCCCTTTGTGTGACAACATCAAGGCGCACGCCACAATTCGAAAGAGAAGCTCGGACAATCTATTATTATTATTAGTTTTTGTTCTATTCAAATAAACCGGCGAAATCTGGGAAACTTTGAACTTTCGAAATGTTTTTATCAGTACTTCGTTATGTGATATAAGAAATGTTCCGACCAAAATTTATCCAAGTCAAAAAACGGTCGATTTCCACCAATGGTCGATTTGACGTCATTTTACCCTCATAAAAAAGTCTATGCCAAGCCAAATCATCCTTTCCTCTGAGTGCGCAATTTATAACCATTTTTAAAGAATAATTGGGCTGGATTCCGTTCCAAAAAAACTTGTGGAAGTCACCTAATAAAAAATAAAAAATAAAATAACCAGCGTGCCTTTGATGTTTGCATTATTAAACAATTAGCAAATGTTGCATCCAGAAAAAACTTACCAGCAATAAATATTCCGTGATCATCGTCTAATATTTATTCAAGCTTTTCAACAAAATATATCTAAATACCTAAATACTAATTCTTGCTACCTTTACACTTCCCTCTGGGAGTTTGAGTTTGTAATTTTGGTAATCATAACTTAGTTTTTTCCCCGTTTTGATCTAGCAGCTAACAATTCGCTTGATTATAAGGTCTATGCATTTCTTAAGAGATTCCCAAAACTATCACTTCCTGATTTATGTAAGCAAACATGCTATTATTTAAACGTCCCAAATGTATGTAAATATTACTCGTATGTTGTGTATTGTCAGCAGGTATTTAGACGTATGCATGTCGTACCTTTGAAGTATTAGAATTATTAGAAACACTTATAAATACTTTGTAGAAATCAGCGCAACAGCAATTAGGATACTTCACACCCACCACACATTGTAGAGAATCCTTTGACATGCCACCCTGTAACAAGTATATTATGCAACCAACTAATATCCACATTACTTAAACTAAACTTTTCATACCCATTCTACTTAGGTACATATATAGCATATCTGACGAAATTTTAACTAAACTTTTTTTGTTTCCTTAAACTACTTATAAAAAGTTTCATATGTGAATATATGCATAATGTAATTTTTTTATATAAATAATTACTCACAGGATTCGCAGGCTGAGGCTGAGGTCGCTGTTACTACGAAGAATGTACGAAAACGCAAAACAACCCACAGTGATCCCACACATGGTAGCTTCTTTTTGCGTGTGGGCGCCATTGGTAAGTTGAAAATAAAAACTAAAAAGAAAGAAAATATACACGACGAATAAATAGCCTCTTCTTTTCTTCAAGTCGGTTAAAAAATTAAATAAAATGAAATTAAATAACGTAAAATAGAGTAGAATCAAAGCAATGATAAAAATGAAATATATAAATATTTACTGAAATCCATACAAAATTCTATAAATTAAAAAAACTTTAGCAATTATATACCAAGAAAGCCAATTAACGATAAAAGCTTCTTTGCATAGCCATTAATTTCCTAAAAAAAATATATTTATTCTCTATTTTATAGCATTTGGTTTGGGCGCCATGATCTACATTGGACTGGAGTTTGGTTCTTTCTTCGAAATCCCATTCGACTCGCCATGCCATCACATTTTGATCGGCGTTAATCCATTGCTACAGATGATATTCACCTTTATGCAGATGTATTTCATCTTCATGAATGCCAGAGTGAGTAAAATAGCAAAATTTGAATATGGAATAAAAAACGGTTGAAGCCAAAGCGATCTGAAGAAAATTTTGAGATATATGTACAAAAGTTGCGCTTTGTAAAACATAATTGATCAGTGGCAAAAATCAGTTTGTGACTCTCGAGGAAGCAATTACATACACCACAGTTGCTTGAGCAAATTTTATCGATAATTTTGTTATCGACAAAGATAATGTGTGAGTTGTAAAAGCCAAATAATTTTATAAATCTTCGAGGCCATATCAAAGGTTTCGCGGAATCTGAAGCATACAAAAATTTCAATGGAATTTCTTATTTTTATTCTTTTTTGTGAATGAGGCTTAGTTCTCAAAAATACAGTGATCTAAGAAATTGATCCTAGTACGATTTTCACACAAATTAAATGAACTTTCCCTCAATCGCTTATCCTCACCGCAACTCTCTTTTCTTATGAGCCCAACAACAAAATAAATAGATTCCTACAGACCTACATCCCGCTTCACTTGAGTAGGTACACATTTCTTCCTCAAGATCAAAGCTATATCTGGACTTGTGGGCATAACAGAAGTCTTTTTTTATATCATTTTGAAAAATGATTAATTTCGAAGAAACCTTGATTAGTTCGGATTTTATTCCACATTTTATCAAAATACACGGAAATTATGCTTGTCCTTGATTTCGAGAGGCGATAACATGGAAAACGATGAGATCAGATGAGCTGAGATGGGCTGAGTTGAGATGAGATGATAAGTTGTAATGTGAGATAGGATGAGTTTCGATGAAAGGGGTGAGATATGATATTATATGAGATGAGATAGATAGAAAGACAAAAAAGTAGTTCCACAGAGTAAAAAGTATACAGAATAATATAATAATAAGTAATAAGTTAGAAGCTCGTTCAATATGCATAGCAGTACCAGCATGATCTTCCCACGAATTCAGACAATCCATGCAGAGTGACGGTGCCTAAGCTGCCCGGGTCCTAGTAGTATTGGTTCACCAGAAATCTCTATCAATTTCTTCGTATCGGGAGACATTGGCACAGGAAATAAGTACTTAACAGATGCTACCTATTTTTCCTCTTTACAACTTTACAACAGAGTCCGCTGGTATTGAGTGTTAACCAGAGCTTAATCATTGGCTGTTAGTGGCTACTCTGAACTACTCCTCAACTTGTGAACACTTTTCTCGCCCACTCGGCCTTTTCCCCATCTCTATTGCTCTGTGACTCCGTTAAGATTGGCGATTTGTGGTCAAAATGATTGTAAGAATTCTCTATATTCCTAAGCTCAAATCGAGTCTGTTCTGAGGACCTTTATCACACCCTGATTGCCTATAACAAGTTTTGAGTGAGCAAAGTATCTATGAATCAAGTAATTACTAAAGACTCTGTCATTTTTCGATACGAAAACTTTATACAGTTCGGTTCGCTTAAAGGAGCTCTCTTGAACTCCATCAAATTTGCCATATGGGAAGAATGCTGACTTATTCCCTTCGGTAATTAACCGATCCATATATCCTGCTTACCAAGTTTGTATAGATCTAAGCTGAAAGGCTTACCAGATCTAAGTCGATTTCCGTGATCTGATAGTCAAAGTGTTTTTGTTTAAAACAATTTATGGCAACCCTTTCCAGTTTTACAAAATTCACGTAAATAATACAAAAAGGTTCGAGTAATAGCTTCTCAAAAACTTGGCTTCAATCCGTCTATGTAAATCATCCTAATGTGGTACTTGTATTTTGGACAACTTTTATTCAACTTATATCTATAATTTATTTTACAACTTCAAAAAGCCATTTGGGGGCTACTTGATTGCAACTGACACTCTTATTGGCTTTGAAAATTTTAACTGAAATGTGTATTTTTTATGTCGCGAATTGTTTGAACCTTTTTAACAAAAAATTATAAACTATTTCATTTCTTTTCTTATGCATACTTTTATGCTCACTTTTATTTACAAGTATCTCTAGCTTATTTTCTCTCCGACTTTACATATTATTCGGCATATTAACTGCATGCGCTTAATACTTTTCCAAATTGTCCATGTAGTTTTAATTACATTTTTGCTCATAAAATCCTCTACTTACGCAGACTAGGCCACCATATCAGGTACAGTATTTCAATTTTCGTAATTTCATGCTTTCGTAAATAAAATCTTCCATTTGTCACTTTTTTCTTTAACTGAATGGCTTTTTGAATTATCTGAGTAACTTTTTTTTCAAATTCAAGTTTTTTCACATGTAACTAAGTAATTCCCTTTTCATGTGCTTCACATTTTCAGCTGAATATTCACCGCTTCAAGGTTATCGCCCGTTTCGGTCTCATGCATGTTGTCGCTACCAATATTTGCGTTTGGATACGCACGCTCGTCAAGGAATCATTGCTCGAAATCACCCTTCATCATCAACGTCGCGAACCCGATCCCGATGCCTCGTCCATTGCCCAGTCCATACGCCAACATGCATTACGACATGCTGGCACAGTTCTGCGCACACACGCCGGACCAAATGAGCAATTTGAGGTACTGGACGGCGAGGATTTACTTCCCGCCAATGCCTACAAAACCGACAATGTGCTCTCGAAATTGGTGCGCAAAACTGTTGATGGCATCTCCAAGTCGTTCGGCATGGGCGCTGCTGCAGGCGCCAATGCCAATGCAGCGCTCACCACGCTGCTCACATCCACCACCAGACCCACGACCATCACCACCACAACCACTACCCCACGTCCCTATTTCACCACACCATCGTATCAGTGGCAAAGCACTACTATGGCACGCAAGTTGAAGAAGTTTATCACGAGCACAACAGCTGCCACGACCACAACGTTGGGCACCACACCTGCCACCATACCATCAACTACAACGCTGGCGAGCAGCCCTTTAACAACAACCACCACCGCAACAACCACGACCACTGAGGCACCCTTCAGACATCACTTTGAGCATTCGGCATTTACGACTGGTGCCCCAAGCGTTGCCACCGATTATCTTATGTCCACACACGGCGCTCTTATTGCCGACTCGCCATCTACCACTGCCGAGACTATGTCCTCTAGCATCGGTTCGAGTATTGGCTCGTTCTTTAATAGTTTAATATCGTCGACGCCTAGCACCACCGTTAGCACAACCACACCCTCCACTACCACTGAGAATGCTTTGAATGTGATGACCAACTTGCTTGGTCCCGGCATGAATAATTTCCAAACCTACTCGGGCATCTCCCATCCAGAGTCGACTGGCATAGTGAGTTTTGAAAATATCGAGAGCCTCGATAATATCTATCCCGCCGCATTGTCCTCCAACATTGGTACTTTGAATTCGACCGCTTGTGGACGTGTCGATATTATGGGCACAATTGTCTACGATTCGGCACCTTTCCTGTATCCCTTCATTATCGAATACTCACTGATTGGCGCTGTTGTCTTGTATGTGATGTGGAAGCACATCGGACGTTATCCGGGTCGTATGAACGACGAGGATTTGGAGCATCGTTTGGAAGTGATGTTATCACGTCGCGCTGTAGCAATGGCGCATCAGGCCCGTTCCGGACGTGTCGATTGCGTGGGCTCGTCGAAAGGGTTGTTCTTTGGTCTGTTGTTGCTGGTAGGTGCTTTGATTTGCCTGATACTCTTCTTCGTCTTGGTGCGTCATCAGCAGTTCTCGCTGCTAGCAATTTACCTTGCCGACGCAAGTCACTGTATACTCATGGCATTCGCTGTGCTCGCCATCATCATTGGTTTTATAAGGTAAGAGTGAACTACATATTTTTTATATACTTAGAAGGTTAAATAGTAAGCTAATGATTTTTTAATCTCACATCCACAGAGTTAAAAATTTGAAATTTCGCTGTGAAGAGCAATCCAATCTTAACGACATTCTACTACGCATTTCCGCTTTTGGTCTCTTCACCTACTCGGTATTTGGCGTTATTGCCGGCAGTTTAAAGGCGCTCGAAAGCGAACCAAATCTTCTAGTCATGACCACAAGCGCTGTAGCGGTATTCCAGGTGATCTTACAATTGCTCTTCATAGCCGATGTTTCGCGTCGTCGCGTTCACTTGCCCGAACATGATCGCAGCAAACCGGGCCGTCAGATTGTCACATTCCTATTGATCTGTAATGTGGCTATGTTTGCTATTTACACGTTTGAAGCTCAAAAAGTATTCGCCAATCCTGTAAGTAGATATGTACGTGAGCGATATATGAAGATATGTTTTACCAAAAAAAAAATCTGTTTTACGAAATTCAAAAACAAAACGCATAAGTATATGAAAGAGTTAACTTTTGAAGGACATCCAGATGCCCTATGTGCTTTATGGTTTTGAAGAGTATGTGATTTTAAAGTTGTTGCATGATTTGCTTGCTTCTATTTCGTAGAGAAGTATGTACATGTATATTTAGAAATAAATGTATGTATGTTTCCTTACTCAGCTGTATTTTTAGTTTACAATTATAGTGGATTTTTACCATCGGCGCCACATTAATACTTTCCAATATTTTGCGAATAGTCGACGCTTTTGTAGGGACGCTACCAAGTATCAGCCAGTTAATTGACCTTCAGCGAAAAATCGGCCAGACTAGAACGGCAGCGCGGATTTGGTCTTGGTACTCATGTTGGTGAAAATAAAGAACTTGTTTCCCTCTGGGTACCAGGCTATTCTTCTTAACGATACAGCTGACCATTTGTATATAGAGGGCCCTGACTCGGTATTGCTTGGTCCGCAGTCAGTTTCAGCGCTCCAACCTTCAGTCATCGAAGCCACCACTTCGATCAGCAATGATTGCGAGGCATCGAGGGGCAGCAGGTGGACAAGTCTCATGTCGCCTTCAATCTCAGAAGGTTTAGATAGGTAATTAATTGCTTTTGCTAAGCAGCAGGGACTGCCGACAGATTGTGGGGTTGGTGACTGGCCACTTCTCACGATACAAACACCTAACTGTGGTCGGCATATATGACAACCTCATTTGTTCTTCCTGCTTCACCTTTGACAGGATTGGGTATGCGGCTTTTGGCAGCGAAGTGTTGAGAAACGAACCCCTAAGCTCTTTAACACGCAACCTTCTGCTAGGATTTTTCGTAGATCGCGTAAATTTACACAGATTAATTAGAAAGGAACACAAAAATATAATAAGCGTTTAGTTGTCTGAAAGGAGTAAAAATTCTACCGTCAAACGTTTGCTAAGGTTTATTTTTTTGTCAAAGGTTGAGATATTGGAGCGACCTAGAACGATCCTTTACATCCTTGTGAATAATCGCTAGCCTTAGAAAAGTCATTATCCTATTATATAAGAAACGACTAGCTGCTGGTTGTTTGAAAGGAATGCGCCTATGGAACGTTTTCCAAGTTTTTTTTTTAACCTGAGCACGTGTTTGCTGCCTGAAACATAAAGGGTCATTTGCCTAATGCAATCGAAGGTTATCGCGTCTTTGAATACCTGCACCCCTTCTTCCGCAAGGGAAGGTTCCACTAGTCCAGAGCTTCCTCTGGAAGTAAGACTTGGAATTTCTTCCCAACTTATGTATGTAGTTTTATTTTACCATGATGACAAAAAGCCCAAATCGTATCAGCCCTTTGAGTTCCGTTTCTCCCGCATAACCAACAATTCTTCTACATGCCCATATGCGTCATGTGGCTTCACCAAGATTTTTTGTATACAACTTCTATATTTTATTATTATACTAAAAGGGATGGCGAATAGAGACACTTGCAAAACTTCTAGAACAATTTGGTCCAACGCACAACTTCTACCTGATCTGAGAACGACTATCTTTTGCAGAGTTTTTGTTCAAATGGAATTGACACCAAGACATTTTTTTAGAGAACGGGAATAACTGCAGGCTGTAAGGGTATTACAAAGGAACTAAAGTTTAAGTCAATGACGATCGGAGGGTGCTTTTACCCTATGAATATCCATATAAAATGAATAGAGAGTTTAAAAAGCGCTACGAGTTATGACGTTTTGCTTACCACCGTTTCAAAAGCCCCTAGTAAGTTTCATAGATCCTTACACATGTTGGGAAACTGGTCTGAGGATTAAGTAGTCTCATTGCATGAAAAGAGTCAGTCGATCTGAACGTTTTCAGAGCTTGCTCTAGCGAGCTGTTACTCTTTATGATTTGAGACTCCACTTTAATCATTACTTGAGCCAGTTTTATGATTATTTATTACTGTTAAAAAAATAGGACTACGATTGTTATTACGGCTTTTCTTAATGCTTTAAAAATGATTTTTTTTTAAATAACTTGGCAGGACTAGCTCATTAGTCACCTCGTTTTTCCTTTTTTAATAATTCAGTTGATTCAAAAAGTTACTTTAACAAACCAATATTCGACTGCATTTTCTTGTCATTTTGTTTTTTTTGCTACGAAAATTATTCCACTTCTGAATTTATGCCAAAAGCACTACATACTTCAAATAACTTATATCCGCCTTAAACATATCAAAAATATTATCATAAAGAAAATCGATAAACCATTTTATAATAATTTTGTTTTCAAATTTAATTTAGATACATGCATACCCTTAATTTACATTCATTATTAAATTTAAGACTATTTACTACATACATTTTATAGAATATTAAAATGTTTGCGTAATATGTGCATATGTACTTTAGTAATAAACAAGATATGTATTTCGAAGCGTACAATTATTTTCAAAAGTTTGACACATACTTACTCACATATAGTTGCATACATATGTACAATATTTCAGTTGGCAAAATTTGAATAAAAAGAGGCCTTCTAAGAGCCCCTAATTCTGATGTTTTGAAGCGAATATCCTTCCGCGCTCAAATTTGTACTCCTTTCTCTATGCTATTGCCAGAGTTTCCAGGCCTTCTAATTCAGCTTCCCTTAGAGGAGGAAAACGTACCTGTACATAATAATATTGACACAAATCAAATTTACCTTCTTTCTTTTCTTCTTTCTTTTACCCCTTTTTTAACTTTCGCTATTCGAAGATCTCCTATTATAGCTTCCAAAGAGAAGGCGTTCTTGCAAATGGCCGTCCTGAAAGCCTTTATTTAGAAGACCTCCAAGTTTTGCCGACAGAAATATTTTTGAAATAAACTTTCCTTACAACATTCCCATTTCTCATATCTTCATGTATTGCGTAATTTTTTGCACTCTCGGTGTTATGTAGATGTAGAGTATAAAGTTTTTGAAATTTTGTACTAAAATATTTTCTTTTCTTTTTACATTACCATTCTCCAAACATTTTTTCCTTGGTACGATCACATAGGTTCAACTAGACTTCTACGGCTTTGTGCCATGGTCAATAATTCAACGCGTCACACTGCCACTTTGCATTTTCCACCGCTTCCATAGCGCTGTAACACTCGCCGAAATCTGGAAGACAACGTACAAGGCACGCTTGGAATAAGGAAACACGCTGGATCTAGAAAACATATTCATGTAGAGAGCTGATCAAAGTGTAATGAAAGAAATTGAGTAAACAGCAAAGAAACTGCCAAACTGCAAAAAGGTACCAAAAAGCAAGAAATAAAGGATCGGAGGAAAAAGATATTGGTAAACGTGAAATGCGGAAAAAGAAATTCAAACGAACCAGATGAATTATACGAAAAAATATAAAAGAGCAACAGCGTAAAATAGTTAAAATTTAAAACAGAAAAAAGCAAGCAAAAATATGTATGTAATAACAGGAATAGCCGTGCGAAAAAGCTAGGCAGCAGCAGTGTAGGGTCAAAAAAGGACTTGAGGTCAAGCAATTTGAACCATTAAATAGGTTACTCGCATACGCAACCATACACAGCCACAAATACACCATAAACATGCAACAGCTATGCAATGCTAAGCAACATGAACATGAACATACACTCAGAAAAATGCATAATACATAGTAAAAAGAAAGGAGAAAAAAACACAATTCAAGGCAAATCAAATTATACATTGTAGCCACATCTGCGCATCTGCATTAAGGCAGAGCAGACAAAAAAAGAGTTGTATATTTAAGTCTAATATTAAGATTTTACTTATTAATTACTTATTACAAGGAGAAAAAAAAAGAAATAAATTAAACATAACATTTATTAATTATGAAAAAATATACAGTTAAGCGAGTACAATTTGTAGATTTTCAAGAGTATGTAAAACTAATTTTTACGAATAAGTCACCGAAATATTTTATTTATTATATTCTTAACAGACCGGAAGACAACAATTTAATACCAAACAATTGAAAAAATAGATATTTTACAAAGAATTTTCTTAACAGGTGGAGTGTAAAAGTGGAAAATAATAATAATTTTTATTTGTTTTCGAGGCTACTGTAGATTTTACTGCAGCAAATGCGATATTCTTATTTGCTAAGTCATATTTTTAAAATAAGCTGTAGCAAATGCTAGCAGCCATTTCTACAAGAGCGAGATAAAAAAAGTGTATTCGTATGGCCGCAAAGCGACAATTTTTTTAGTACTTAAATAGTGATGATTTGATATTTGCAAGCGTTTGATTTAATGTAAGCGAAAGTACAGGAAGCGTAAGGCGTATATGAAGAAAAGAAGCCGCAAATTTAAAAAATTAAATGTAATTAGTTTTTTTTTTGTTTTTGGTTTCTCAACTTGTTCTGGATATTGTTTTTTTTATAAATAAATTTATATATATCCATTTATAATTTGATATTTTTAAATTTGGATTTTGTAATTTAAATTTATTTTAATTTTTATTATCTCGTGTAAAAAAAAATTATTTATATAAAAACAAATTTTTTGAAATAAAAATGCAAATCAATATTTATTTTACGTATTATTTACATACAATAAAATGAGCTAAGATCTATATATCTAACCCTCAAATAAGAAAACAAGTGAATAAATGTTAATATTAAGTAAATTAAAACTAAAGTTATATAAACACACATATTAATATGAGGAAACGTAAAGAAATACAAAACCAAAAATAAAAAAATAAAATAAAAATTGTTGTTTATTTACTTTCTATGCAGTTGTTGCATAAAGATATTTTCCATATCTAATGCAACTGAGATTAGCGCAACTAAATGAGAAAAAAGCAAGAGCAAAAAATTTATATAGAGAAATACTGAACGGGCTTGGAGTATAAATTTTACTATACATCTAAATAAGCGTATTATCGACAGTATTTGTAAACAAGCAAAAAGGGTAAGAAATATTTAATTTTAAAAATTATTAATTAATTAATTAATTAATTAAAAATGAAAAATATTTGTATAAACACATTGAAGTACAGAAATCAGAAATCACAGCATATTCATACCAATTTTGACAGAACACTAGGAAAGAAAAAATATCATGGATTAACTGATTTAACAGAGCAGAAACGAAAAACTCAATAAAAGGGCATGAAAGGCGTATCATTGTTGACATTAGTACATTAATACTCATCGCAAAATCACCCAATGCCAGAGCGTAGTGAGATCCAGCAAAATTTGCGAGTGCATTTTTTACAGTGTAAGTGCTCATGAAAAATTACCGTCGTTTTCGTACCTGCGGCTTATCCAGAATTCATTTTTGGCGATGCCCAGCTGCCCAGGGTGGTTACTAACCGGTCAGTGCCCAGTAAGAACCGATACTAGCCTCGCCTGTTCTATACAGGCCACATGGCTTTACAGCATCCTGATGTTATGACCCGATTTCTAAATATTGCGCGAAAAAATGAGACCAATGTGGTAAACTCCCAATCGAACTCATCAGCCGGCAGATTTCTCGGTAGTATTGCATACAAAAAACTACTTCGAACTGATTATTAAAGAGAGTTTTACACTAATAAATCTTCTCCGATTTTGTTGTAAAAGGCTTAAAAGCCAGAATGGTCGTCCATATGTCAAAAAAATGGCAACGCGCTCGAACCGACGACGACCTTATAAAATACATACGCTGCCTGGCAAACATTCAAAAATTCAGTCAAATGGATTGATCGTCTTAAACGCGGGTATTTAGAGGAAACTATAACACCCAGCTCGATTTTGGAACCAAAGGTGCACGGATTATGTATCCACTCATAGGTATCAAATTCTATTTGCGACGAAAGAATTGCACTCAAGAGCCTGTGGAATTATGTTTCAAGTCTGGGTCGCTTTCTTATCTTTGACAACAAATACGAGAGCGATGAACATTATGTGGAGGTCTATAGAAAAAAAGTTTGTAATAAAATTAAGGGCATCTTTATGACAAGTTCTCAATGGCCCTGTAGTGTTGGCATCTCGCCAGATCTGGAGAGAACCACAACGTTAGATCAAACGTAACGCTGTTGTATACAGCCAAAGTACGACCTTTGGTCCTAGTGCCCCACGTTATCCCGAAAAGCGTATCTATCTATATGTACTTTCCAACTTTCCTAATTCAACGCTAGGAACTTTATTCCTGGAACTATAGACCATTTGTTAAATTTTTTTCGGATTTACCTCAAAAAACCACACTGCTTAGCCTGGCTTTCCATGAGCTCCTTCTTTGATGTTACTCACCACAGATAAAAATAGCTCGGCTACTGAAATTATCCCAACATCGGCAAAGGGCACCATTTTCACTCCCCTCTGGTGGATGAGTTGATAGTGGGAAGGCATAGAAGTGGCACTCCACCTTAGGACGTGCCCATGCTGACGTTCGTCGTTAGTGTGCAGCTTTCCAATTCTGTGAAAATCGTTTTGATGCGCAGCATCGCTATTATCTGTGAGCTGATATATTTCTCGGCGTCAAGCTCGTCTAAAAATTTGATCAAGAACTATACGTAGGCTCGGAGGGCTTCTTCAAGAAATGAGAATAATGCGAACTGGCATGCTTTCATAGAAGATTTTATATCACAAATTTCCGAGTGTGGCACAAGTTAGCAGTTCCTTTCTGCGGTTATATGGGTAATAGATAAGAATCCAAAACATGCAGTAGTATTGCATGAAAAAAGTGATCTAAACCAAGTACTGGGAATAACATTGAATTCTTATTGATATTTATAGGGCCTCCCAGTGCAAATGATCTGCCTCTTGGTAGCTCATCACGTCGTATCAACTGCACGTCATCGATGCAAGTCCTGTAAAATGATCAAAAAAATACTTTCATTTCCATTAATTCGGTAAGGGATCTCGAGCACGAGTAAATGATTACCAAAACAACCCAACATCAACACATCGCGTACGCAACCGAAGTACACATGAACAACACGACATCATCCATCACATCAACACATCACCATCACAACAGCAATATCACATCACTGCAAGCGCGAAGAAGGCATACAAAGTAAGTAGGAAAGAGCGCAAGCTGACGAAAGCAGATATGCAAAATATCTTTATATGCGAAACAAATGTAAACATTCAAAAATATGCATACATACATACATACATAGTAAACAACAACAATAAACTGTGATCAATTGACATTTATTTTGATTTTCTCTTGGCATTGTTGAAAGTGCAGACACAAGCAGACAAAAGAAACCAAAAAAAAATAATTAAAATTAAACATAGAAAAATTGGCAAATAATAAGCGGAAAGAAAATATTCAAGTAAATTAAATTTGAATCAGATTTTTGTAGTGATTATAAACATTTTTTTACATACATACTTATGCAAACAGGCATAAGAAAAAAAATTAATTGTGTACTTAAACAAAAGAGAAAAAATAAAGTTATAATGGTATATACATAAATACAAAAATATATGAAAGAAATTAAGATAAAGAAAAAATTATGCATAAAGTTAATAAACCAAACAAATATGAAAAAATGTGAAAATAACCAACTTTTTTAAATGTCCATTTTGAATACATATATATTGGTAGTGAACTTTAAATGATAAAATTTATAAAACTAAAAATTAAACCAGCATTACAAATACAAATAGAAATATATGTATAGCAGCGAAAAGGCAAGCAGGAAAATTTGTTGCATTTTGACGTTAAAAAAAAAACAAAAACCACACGAAATTAGGAAAATAGTGCATATACATATATAAAAATCTGTTTACATGTAATTTCTTAAACAAAAATATATGTATGTATAACAAATAAATTCGAAAACATTCTAAAACACACAGAAGGCATTTAAACCAGCAACTTATTGGCGACATACACGAAAACAAAAAACACAGACAGATGCACGTACATACATACAAAATGGGGTAAGAACTTATTCGAGTAGAAATAAAAAAAACTGTATGTATGTACATATGTATATTTAAACCAACAACCCACCAATTTCAAAAGTATTACATATATATTATACACACGAACGAATGCAAACGAAGTAAAAGAATAACAATTAGAATATGCTAAATGTTAGAGCTTTTCGAGCGAGAAATAATTAACACCCATTTCTTTCCAGACGATTTTCGTCAAATGCGTGAAATTTTCAACTTGCAACTTAATTTGAATAAATACTTAAAAGTTTTGCAATAATTTTAAATCATTATTCATGTATTCAGTGAAACGACAGTTGAAACGACACAGTTAAATATACAGATGCAAGAACGACGCTCAACAGGTGTGTAGTTATAGTGGCGACTGAAGCGATTCTCATAAATTCCCACATCATTTCACTCAGAAACAATATTCATCGATAATTCAACTATTTCTGTCATTCAATAAACACGTTTGAACACTGCCGTTTATAATACTTAAATATATATAAATAAATTTATATACATAATATACATATATACATAGTTACAATTCACTCCGATCACAACTTCACTTGCACATACTGCGACCTACCCAAAATACCAAAAACCCGCGTATTCCACCAGACCGAACTCTCCAAATTGCTTCTTAATCTCTTAAGAGAAGAAGTGTAGATTAAACCCTTTTTATAGTAGATATACATACATCATTCATATGCAATCTGTGAAACAAGTATCCAGTTCAAACCCTTGTAAGGCATTTACA